TCTAAATTGTGAGCATAAACCAAGTTATTTCATCTTTTCCATTGCGCGGATGAAAGATTAGAAGATTCTGAGTCGAGACGGTGTGTGTGTGTGTGAGACGTAAGCAGCGCGCGACCGCTTGAATGAATGAACTGATTGAACGCAGAGAAGGCTGTAACGCGAGTCCGCCTCTCCGTTGTTAAACTGCAGTAAGTGAACTTAAAGTTAACATCTGAGATCGTACAATAAGGTAGAAATTGAGCGTGTTCCTCATTTTTGTAATGCCTTGTTTATAGCTGGATTGATTTCACTGCGTGTTCCAGTGCCTTTCAATAGCTATACTCCCGGCAGGGAATCTCAGTCACCGTTAGCTGAATGGAGCTAAACTGCAGTAATTCAAAGGGAATAAATCTAATCTTCTTGCTTGAAACGTTTCTTCCAATCAATTCTTTGTCAAATGTATCATATTGTTGTTATAGAAATCATGTCTAAAAGTATACTCTGCAAGAGCGTTAAAACTCGGACCATGTGCCTGATGAGATAACATTTTGATTTATGAATTGGGAGGAGAAATATACAACACCCCAGCAAAGACGATATCTAATTGGTCAAAACACCATTTGGGAGGTGTCCAAAAGCCCATTTTAAATACTCAGGACACCATCAGATCACCCTCTTCCACCCTTTTTTGCCTTTTTCTAGTCACCAGTCATCACCTTTTATAAAACCCATTATAAACGAGGCTTTTGTTGCATCCAGTGGGGACGTAATTACGGATTATAATAACTTATATTTACTTTTTACGTGTTGCGTTGCATCGCGCCACGTAAACAAAACCATGTCTGCATTTGTGATCAGAAATGACAAACAAGCACTAACATTACTCTACACTGCTCAAAATTCGCGTTTGAATCATCAGTAGCAAATCCTTGAAATGAAAACGTACTTACAGACTGTAAGTCAGAACAGCCGGCGGCGGGCCAGCGTGAGCTGAGCAGCACTAAGTTGATGTATTTCCTCAGCGACCAGCACAGATCAGCTCTAGGCATGACGAAGCGGATATCGTCGCTTTCACAACGCAGCACACAGCGTCTTCACGACATGGTGGCAGCATCAATACTACAGCGAGAATAAAAGTTACGCCTTCGTTCTTTGCGTGAACATTTGGGCGGTGTTATGCAAATCTTCCCACATAGTGACGTAGATATGTGGGGGCGTGTTAGAACGAGCCGTTTTAGGTAGGTGTGGTTGACTCTTAACTTTTATAAAGAATATCTCTTTGGATTTGAGACTTTAGTCTTTGCAACTTTACAGATCTTCTTTATGCAACAAGAGCTTGTAACACTCCAAAGAGAAAGGAAAAATTGAAATCGCATCATATGACCCCTTTAAATGATTCCCTTTGAGCTAAATTGACCTGTTTCCCTTACAAAAGGTACATCTGGAAAAATGGGGGTCGTCTTATAATCAGGGTCGTCTTATATTCGGGCCAATACGGTATTTATACGGCTTGGTTTTCATTTGTTTTTGCTGGTCGTTGTTTGAAGGCTTTGTTCTGTGGATGTTCCTGTTTCCTGGCCTTTCCTGTGTGGATTTCTGTTTTTGTATTTTCTTAAAGTCATGAGTGCAAGTGGATTCTCTCACCGCCTAATCCTTCTGTTACAGTCTCTCTTATCTGACGAACTCAAATTAGTTCATGGAGCTGTCTCCTAATGAGCTGATGATCTGAATCAGGTGTGTTATAAAGAAAATGTACAGAGTACCAGGACTGGACTTGAGAACCACCGATTTTAAAATAGTTTATTTAACAGAAGTTTAGTTTGACTGAATGGTAGGATGGTTTGGACTAAATGAGGTACTATGCTGACAGAGGAAAGGTAGGCCGTAGGTCCCCTACCTGTCATTGCACATGTGCTCCTGTCTGTCAACACTAAGGTATGAGTGCCCTTCCCATAAGGTGAATCTCAAAAACAAGATTATGAACGTGATCTCAAAATACATTCTAAATATTTAGCTTTTTAAGCACAAATCACTTTTTACAGGAAGAAGAGTAAGTGTTGTTACACTCAATATTGATGGATTCAGACAGTTCATGAAGTTGATCAATTTCACCCAGTTAGTTGCAGTTTAATGTCAGACCAAATATTAATTATTATTTTATTTATTTATTAATTAAAATTATGTGTAATAATATAAACTTATTTAACACTTAAAAAAATTAATTTAAAATCAGGTTGTAGTTGAATAAATTGGCATGTACCAAGCAACTACAAGCCCAATTCCAGAAAAGTTGGGACATTTTGTAAAACGCAATAAAATCAAGAACATGTGATTTGTTAATTCCAAAGTTTTCACTGACTAACTTGAATGCATTTTGTAAATATTAATAAATTCACTTCACAGGGAACACAGTCTGCTGCTGCATCCAGAAATGCAACTTGAATCTCTATTACTCTAGGAGAAAGCTATACATCAATTCTATGCAGTGATGCCGTGGGGTTCTCTGGGCCAGAGCTCATCTGAGTCCAACATTCCAGCTTGTTTCTTGGAAAAATCGATGTCGAGTTCTCAGTCCCAAAGACTAAAGGGACCATCCAGACTTTCATCAGTGACAGAAGCAAAAGCAAACGTCTGTCATGGTATGGGGGTACAGCAGAGCAAACGGCATGGGTGACTGGCATATATGTGAAAGTACCATTGACATGGAAGCATATATTTGGATTGTACAGAGGCATATACTGCCATCAAGATGACATCTTTCATGTGATGGCCATGATTATTAGATCAAGACAATGTCAGCTCTTATTCTGCATGTGCACAACAGCGTGGTTTCAGAGTGAATGCGCTAGACTGGCTTGCCTACAGTCCAGATCTGAGTCCTATTGAAAATGTATGACCAGTCATGAAAAGGAGAATCAGTCAACGATGATCACAGACTGCTGAGCATCTGAAGTCTTGAATCAAGCAAGATTGGACAAAGATTTTGCTTGCAAACTTTAACAGTGAATATCCTCAATTCCCAAACATTTGAACATTGTATTTAATGGATAAGTTCACTTCCAGGATAAAAATTTCCTGATAATTTATTCACCTCCACGTCATCCAAGATGTTCAAGTCTTTCTTTCTTCAGTCGCAAAAAAAACCTACGTTTTTTGAGGAAAACATTCCAGGATTTTTCTCCATATAGTGCACTTCAATGGTGGCCAACGATTTGAAGTCCAAAATGCAGTTTCAATGCAGCTTGAAAGGGCTCTACATGATCTCAGCCGAGGAATAAGGGTCTTATCTAGCAAAACGATCAGTCATTTTCTTTTAAAAAATAATATTGATATACTTTTTAACCACAAATGCTCAGCTAGCATTAGTTCTGCGATGCGTATGCGCGTCTTTATTAGGCAATATTGGTAAGGTCACGCATGACGTAGGCGGAAGTACCGACCCAGTGTTTATAAAGCGAACATTCAAAAAAAGTAATTGCCCTTTACAAAAAAAGGTAACACAACGATGTCGGATGATTTTACGGTTGGAGGAGAAAATGATGCTGTTTGTGGAGATGATTAATCATCTTCTGCAGAGCTCTTGAGAGATTTAATGTCTTTTATTTCAGTTGATTTTATCTAAGTCTGTGGCTGAAGTCAGTTGTAGTTCTTGTGTTTCTCTTTTCTTCAGTGATTCTGCTTGTTAACAGCAGCTGTTCATCACTAATGCTCAATCAGCACTTAATTAATCACATAATTATCTCATTAACTTGAACACTGCTTCAGTTTTACTTCAACACTCTTTTAGAGTAGAGTGGGACCATATATGCTCCGAGCAGTGTTCATTTAACACTCGGGAATTTACTGTGTACTTATAAGTGGTCTTTGACTGCTTTAAGTAAAGCAGCATAAGAAAAATGGCAATATATGAGACTTATAATACATTATAATTATGAGAAATATAATCCATTGTAAAAGTGGATGCAACGTCTTCATTGTGTTATAAATCATCATACTCTTAAAAGCTATAACCACAAATAAGTAAATATTATAATATATTAAAACTGTTCTTATGAATATTCATGAGCTGATACAACATATTATAAGGTTTTTTATAATGCATTATGCATTCATTATAATGCCTTAAGAATACCCTTATAATGTATTATAAATACGGGCTTCATAGAAAGTGTTACCTAAAGATGCCTTTGAAGCACATTACATTTATAATATATCATCTTTATATTGTTTCTACATTCATTTGGAGATTTAATGTGATAAAACTCTGAGCAGTTTTAATTTAACACTCTGGATTTTACTGTGTTATGGTGATCTGTCAATATTTCTAACTGATGTTAAGCATAAACCCACTTTCAATAGAATTTAGCTTTATTCAAGACATGCTTATTTGCTTGACTATTTAAATAGTTTTCAGCATTATATAGGCTGAACCAACGTGTATTATCACACATCCATTTACATTCATGTGAATAGGAAATGTGCACAGTGTTACATTTAAAATGTTTGGATCTTCAAGCACAATTGCACAATTAATAGCTAATTAATTAATTGATTAATTTTGTCAGTACTTCTTTATTATGTATGATTTCTCTAAATCCCTGACTGATATAAATAATACTCAGGCCTTTTTAAAATTTCAGTCATGCATGATTCATGTTATATTTCTACCAGATGGCTGGAGGTTGTGTACAAAAACATACAGATCAACCAAGGTGGGTTTTTTTGGTAACAAATAAATACATTGATCAAATTGCACAAAATCTCTTACACCCCACCCTCCCCCTTTAATTCAGAGAGCCTCTCAGACGAAGCTCTCCTCCATGTTGGAGCACAAGAGGAAAGAGTCCACCAGTCTGGGCTTAATCAGCTGTTGATGGTCAGTGGGCCCAATACTGTCTGGACATTCAGCTGCAAGCCTCCTCAAAGCAGCCTGTCAATGGTACAAATGATATAATGATGAATGTAAAACACGGTAATGCTTTATTATAGACTCTGATAAAGTACTTACAAATCATTTGCAAACTATTAGTTTATAGTTAATTCATAGTTTATAAACTGTAGTTAATACATTAACAGACTCCATACAAATAGTAAGTTCTTCATTCATTATCACTGTAATCAACCAAATTGTTAATGTTTAATTAACTCATATGTAAAGAGTCAGATAATGCTTTGTTAACATAAATAGCTCTTACTTTAGATTAGGTCACAGGAAATGTTGAAATGTCATCAATTAAGTGCTTTAAACCAACCTTTTACTTTTACATAAAGTATATCTGTAGGCGTAATGGTTTTTATACTGTCCAAACTGCATATTTTTATATTCGGTCAATTAACCCTACCCCTAAACCTACCCATCACAGAAACCTAGAGAGAGAGAGAAGAGTCCCTGTGTGTGTGTGTGTGTGTGTGTGTGTCCTTAATGTATTTGTAAACATTTTAGGGGACAGTGAATATGAATGCAATTAGTGTTCAATAAAGGTTGGTTTAAAGCACTTAATTAATGACATTTTCTGTGACCTAATCTAAAGTGAAAAAACTAGTCACTCCTTATTACACTTAACAATTCCTTTATTATGAGGTAAATAAACAATAATAATTGTGGTAATTGCAGTGATAATGAATGAAAAAATCACTATTTGTATAGAGTCTATGAATGTATTAACTACAGTTTATAAACTATGAATTAACAATAAACTAATAGTTTGTTATTTGTAAGTACTTTATCAGTGTAAACTCATTATAAAGTGTTATCTACAACACATATTCTACAAATGTGCTGGAAAAGAAACTATACTCTTTTCTTATTATTTTATGAAAGTGTGGCCAAGTATGGTGACCCATACTCGGATTTTGTGCTCTGCATTTAACCCATCCAAGTACACACACA